GAAGTTGCCTTTTGTCAACCCATTTAATAACTTTAACGCCATTTTTATTCATAGCTCCTTTGATTTCACCCTTCTTCAACTTTAGTAACACTATCTCCTTAGGTAGCCCCCCTTCGCTTCGAATTTAGGGTACCGCAATAACGGGTTTTTTGAGATAAGAGTTCTTCCGCCAATTCAATTGAAGAGTAGAAATTGTCTGCCAATTACTACACGACATTTGTTCTCCAGCCCTTGAATGAGTTTCAGTACGGTGACTTTACCATGATTTTGTTCACGGCCATTTTCTCCCTTTCCAGAATAAATTATTGAATTATATATATACCCTTCTGGAGTGCATAACTTGTAAATTTTAACACCATACTTGTGTGATTTGTTTTTAATGTATTGTTTGAATAATGATTTCTTATATTTACGCGAACATTGCACATGATTAAAACTACTTTTACGGATTTTATCGCGTTTATTTTTACTTTTATTTTTAATTCCCGACGTTTCGGGCGCTTTCCAGCACCCATGGTCACGGGGGACTGAGATGACTGACGTCCCGATGTCATTGTTAAACCCGGAGTACCTTCAGCTTTTTTTTAATTATTGTTTATGGTCCGATCTATGCAAAATGAACTGACTATGGCCTGAGGTCTTGCAGTGGTATGTTTGGGTTTAGTTTTAATTTTATTGATTATAGGATCCCAAGCAGGTGGTAGTACGCAGCCTCCTTCTCTATTGAAATTAGGATGTTTTTTAATTTCAATAGCCTCACGTATCATCCTTGGTAGGAATCGGTGTTCTTTCGCGAGGATTTGTGGTCTATCAAATCTGATGTAATGGTTGGGGCCGTCTAGGATATGATCACAAACTGCAGACTTCCCGGAACGTTGATGCTTCACATCAGCTATATGTTCTTTTACGCGGGTCCTAATTGATCTTTTGGTTTATCCTATATAAGAGAGACCACATTCACAATCAAGCTTGTACACTCCTGCATCTTGTAGAGGAATATGACACTTGACGGATGGTAGGAACTGACTAATCTTCTTCAGCGGCTTGTAGAATGTTCTAATAGAAGCTCGCTTCAAGATAAAGCCAATCTTGTCTGTGACACCTCTGACATATGGTAGTACAGCAGGCACACGCTCGACTGTGGCCGGCTTCACTCGGTCACTGTGACGTAGGCGCGGGACCCGAAGCTTGTTGTCGTGCAGAACTTGCTTGACGTGCTGAAGCTCGGCGGCCAGGTGTTTGCTGTCACAGATCCCTCGTGCTCTCTGTAACAAAGATTTGCCCACGGTAGCTAACTGTGAAGGATGGTGGTGAGATTCACCGTTTAAATATCGGTTTGTATGGGTCTTTTTCCTATACACAGTGTGACCAATGGTGTTATTAGGATTTCGGATGACTAACACATCTAGGAAAGGTAAGGAATTATTTGCCTCTAACTCCATAGTAAATTGAATTTTAGCGTTTATGGAATTAAGATGTTCTAAAAAATGCAGTTACTTTGTCTGATGGTAAAATTGTGAAAGTATCGTCTACGTACCGCTTGTAGATCCTTGGTGTAACAGGTGCAGTAAGGAGGGCTTTCTCCTCAAAGTCTTCCATGAATATATCGGCGACAATGGGAGATACAGGTGAGCCCATCGCCACACCATCTACTTGCTTGTAAAACTCTTCCTTCCACAATAGATAGCCAGATGTAAGGCAATGTCTTAGTAATACTGCATATTCTGCTGGCATGTTATTTTCCTCTAGTTTCCTAGTTATAATTGAGATGCAGTCTTCAACAGGTAGGCATGTAAATAGAGACTGAACATCAAAACTGACCATGGTTTCATTGTCAGTAAGATGTAGGTCTTTTATCTCACTGACAAAATGGTATGAATCCTTAGTGTGTGCTCTTGTGTGTCCTCTGAGTGGTGATAATATTTTAGCTAAGTTTTGAGCCAATCTGTAAGTTGGCGAATCAATCTGACTCACTATTGGACGTAATGGAGCATTCGGTTTGTGTATCTTTGGTAACCCATACAACTTCGGTGGTTTGGCACAGGAAGGTATTATCGAATTAACGTCCAGATTCAATTTTCCGGAGTATTTCTTAATTAGATCGCTAGTTGTTTTAAGCGTATTAGTTGTAGGGTCTGTTTTGACCTTTCGATAAGTAGTTTCATCCGACAAAAGTTGTTGTATTTTAAAATTGTAATCTGACGTATCCATTATAACCGTAGAATTACCTTTATCTGCGCGGAGAATCGTAAGCTCTGGTCTGTTGCGTAAGTTTTTCAACGCGTTAAATTCATTTTTGGGGAGATTTAATTTCGGCGCTGAACTTCGACGTAACATAGACGAGATGTCTTGACGTATGGCCTCTAAATCTTCATTACCAATATTATTTTTATACAGACAGTCCTCAACACTACAGATAATGTCCTCATACGGTATTTTTCGCGGTGCTATTGCGAAATTAATACCTTTTTCTAAAACTTTTATTGTGGCGTCGTCCAGTGTTTGTTTTGATAAGTTGTAGACAGCGCGTTGTTTATGATTCGTGTCTGTGGTCCACGATTTCGTATGTTGGACATTTGATTTAGTTGTTAATTTATGGTATTTATCAATGTGTTTATTTTTGCATTCATTGTATTTAGTTGTTTCGCGTTTATCTAAAGTTTCCATGCAATTTTTATAATCAAATGTCGATAAAACTGTCTTTAATTCACTGGACGAATTGTCTATGGTTTTGTTTATGAAATATAGATCGGTACGTTTTTGCTGAATCACCGTTATTAACAACTTTTTACTAGCCTGATTTAAGATCTTGGCGCTTCCTCGAATGTCTTTTTTAGTGGATATCTTGACACACGTAGGAATGAGATTATGATCTCTGCATCTCTTCAAGAAATTTAAAGCTGTTATGTATCTTGCGCGCTTGGTCTTTAGATCTTCTAATCGGCGTATTTTATTTGCTATTTCCAGTCCGTACTGGTTTACATAATGATTTCTTATATTTACGCGAACATTGCACATGATTAAAACTACTTTTACGGATTTTATCGCGTTTATTTTTACTTTTTATTTTTAATTCCCGACGTTTTACAAGCAAGTAGATGGTGTGGCGATGGGCTCACCTGTATCTCCCATTGTCGCCGATATATTCATGGAAGACTTTGAGGAGAAAGCCCTCCTTACTGCACCTGTTACACCAAGGATCTACAAGCGGTACGTAGACGATACTTTCACAATTTTACCATCAGACAAAGTAACTGCATTTTTTAGAACATCTTAATTCCATAAACTCTAAAATTCAATTTACTATGGAGTTAGAGGCAAATAATTCCTTACCTTTCCTAGATGTGTTAGTCATCCGAAATCCTAATAACACCATTGGTCACACTGTGTATAGGAAAAAGACCCATACAAACCGATATTTAAACGGTGAATCTCACCACCATCCTTCACAGTTAGCTACCGTGGGCAAATCTTTGTTACAGAGAGCACGAGGGATCTGTGACAGCAAACACCTGGCCGCCGAGCTTCAGCACGTCAAGCAAGTTCTGCACGACAACAAGCTTCGGGTCCCGCGCCTACGTCACAGTGACCGAGTGAAGCCGGCCACAGTCGAGCGTGTGCCTGCTGTACTACCATATGTCAGAGGTGTCACAGACAAGATTGGCTTTATCTTGAAGCGAGCTTCTATTAGAACATTCTACAAGCCGCCGAAGAAGATTAGTCAGTTCCTACCATCCGTCAAGTGTCATATTCCTCTACAAGATGCAGGAGTGTACAAGCTTGATTGTGAATGTGGTCTCTCTTATATAGGACAAACCAAAAGATCAATTAGGACCCGCGTAAAAGAACATATAGCTGATGTGAAGCATCAACGTTCCGGGAAGTCTGCAGTTTGTGATCATATCCTAGACGGCCCCAACCATTACATCAGATTTGATAGACCACAAATCCTCGCGAAAGAACACCGATTCCTACCAAGGATGATACGTGAGGCTATTGAAATTAAAAAACATCCTAATTTCAATAGAGAAGGAGGCTGCGTACTACCACCTGCTTGGGATCCTATAATCAATAAAATTAAAACTAAACCCAAGCATACCACTGCAAGACCTCAGGCCATAGTCAGTTCATTTTGCATAGATCGGACCATAAACAATAATTAAAAAAGCTGAAGGTACTCCGGGTTTAACAATGACATCGGGACGTCAGTCATCTCAGTCCCCCGTGACCATGGGTGCTGGAAAGCGCCCGAAACGTCGGGAATTAAAAATAAAAAGTAAAAATAAACGCGATAAAATCCGTAAAAGTAGTTTTAATCATGTATTGTTTGAATTTCAGCCTGCCACGCCATGGTATCATTGATTCATCTATAACAATGAATTTACCTGGCGTTAATACTTCTTGGAATCTGCTGTTGAGCATATTAGCCAAATCATGAATTTTCTTCAACTTATTTGTATTGTGGATGGCTGACGAATCATCACAAAAATGCCAGAATTTCAGTAATAGCAGAAATCTATCCCGAGTCATTACAGATACAATATATTCGTTTCGATATATTGATTTTTTTGACCAATAGTCATTTATATGAGACACTTTGTTCAGACCCATTGCGAGTAGTACCCCTAGAAACTTCCGCATTTCTATATTATTCGTAGCTTTCCATGATAATAACCGAGATTTTGTTTTTATTTCGTTATTATTTTGCTTTTTCTGCGATGTGTTTTAACGCATATTTATTAGTTTCTGTAACCATTTTATCTATTATTTCATCAGTTACAAATAAGGAAAAAATACCTGCAGGAGATATATCTTCTATAGGAATATTAAAAGTGCTTTCATTTAAAGTACACGCATCCAACTCAGGTGTCAAATCTGTGACAGCATCCCATTCATTGACACTATTATCCTGTGCATCTTCCTCTTCCTCTGAAACATCATTATCTATATCCGATACAACTTCACTTGCAGAATATTCATCACTCTCATCATCGCCTGTGTCACCACTTTTCCTGCTCTTCATCTTCCTCCTCAGTATTTTCCGTTTCTTCCTCTCTCTCTGCATCTTCATCTTCCTCTTCAGCATTTCCTGTTTCTTCCTCTCTCTCTTCTACATCTTCTACATCAACATTTTCTGTTTCTTTCTCTCTCTCTGCTTCGTCATTAAGTGTTTCTTTCTGTCTTTCATTTTCTTCAAACTGTCTATTGCGTTCTTCGTCATAAAAAACACAATTTTCATTACTTTCAGTTAACCCTTGCGACATACTGTCTTCAAAAGAATAAGTGAATGTAAGTTTTGTCTTTGGATCTTTCCTTTCTATTTCATTTTTCTTTTTTATCTTTTTTATTATCGTTTCTTAGATTTATCAAGTCATGATATTCGCTTTCATCTATTTTGATGCCGTGCATAAGCTTAGAAGCTGATATATTGTTTAGCGAAGGACTGCATCCTCTTGAGCTATACATACTAAATCGTTCCAATGACGATGAGCTAGGCGAAGACAATCCTTTTGATGTCTGTGGTGTAGGTTTATTTTTACATTCTGTAATGCAAAAAAGGTAAGTGGAATAAAATTAATCTACACTAATATTACAAATGTGAAAGTTTAGATGTATGGATGTTTGCTACTCTTTCACGCAAAAACTACTGAACGAATTTAGATGAAACTTTACAGTAATATAAGTAAAAAATTAAATAAAATATGAAATTTTGAGAGATAGAGAGAGAGAGATATCTGTCAATAGATGCTCAGCAGAAACTATAACACTAAAAGCAAATAAATTATTTAAATTAAGACATACCTGTTTTAGTTACATGTGAAAACGAGACAGGTTTAAGAATATGAAATTTTCTTCCACTGGGGCTACTGAAAACGTCCGCTGTTGACAAAAAAAGTTTACTGTGACTCTTATTGTGTCTTATTTAGCGAGAAAAAGGAGTGTTGGGGTAAAAGCGGACGGATTATGGTTCAATTGAAAAGATGTTCAAAAAAACTAAATTTTCTCGACATCAACTGTTGAAAATAAATCATTAAAATGCAATGAAAGTGTTAAGAATAATCTTTTTCATAAAGGATGGTATTACATAAAAAATCCCCACGTCATTATGCGTCTAAGGCTGATATGTTGATATGTGTAGGTAGTAAATAAAACTTACCGCTTGTGCTTTGTTTTCCGTGCACATTTGTTTCCAAATCCTTTTTAGCTTTTCTTAGTGGAAAATATTTCTTCACTGCTGTCACTATCACTGTCAATAACTGCAGGGCGAATTACTCTATTTTCCAAAATTTGTATTTTTCTTTTATTGCTTGCCATTGTTGATAATATCGGACGCTACGACAGAGCTGTTAGATAGCACAACACTAACTGGCGGGGCGCGCGCTCTGTGCGGTATCGGGTCGCCAGCTGCCTGGTGGGAGGGCGGGCCGAAATAGGCCCACTGCCGCACTCGCGGATGTTTTTTCACCGTCAGTGTGTGGTAGGTCAATAAAAGCCTGCCGTTATGTTTTGATGGGGAACAACTACGGCATTTACCGCAAGATGAAATATATATTTGTCTCTGTCGAATTTTTACAAACACCTGAGATAATCGTTTCGCACAAGCGAGAGGGACATAGTTTTCTTCGTCCGCACCAGTTCAAGTACCGCGGCAGGCCGATATCGGCCTGTTACGCAGTAAACGTGTTAAAGGTTAAGTTAACTGAATAAGAGCACACGCATTATGAAACGAGACATCTTATTAATATACATTCGGTAAAAGTCAGCTTCGAAAACTGTGAAGTGGAGTATTTTTTATATCAAGTCTTCACACACATAAGAATATAAATTTTTATTGTTTACAAAAAAGGAAAAATATAATGTTATATTATCTCTTTATTTTCCTTTATCTAAATTTTATGCGGAAAATAGAATTATTATTAAGTTTCAAAATATTAAAGTAAGCTTTACTTTATTGTTATTATATGTTCACACTCTTACAAATTCGAATGCGGAAGCGCCTTTCTTCAACGATGTTATCTGGTATATGTTTTTCATCAAACCGTAAAACACCACCATTTATCGCCACGCTTAGGGAACTGCTAACCGTCGGATCAACAATCGCAGTTCCAGAACCCGCACAATTGATGTTGTTCCCTATTAGGGTTTAAGTAGTATACGTCTACTTTTGATAAAATGATTGTACAGCTATATGGGGCAAGCCATGAGATCATTCTAGAATTTCCCATAATAAATCTTCTAAGGAGAGAGATCTTGGTAAGTGATACTGGAAGTCGATGAATGCAGGTGATTCAGAAACATTTTTTATGGTATTCCTTGGAGGATAGGCCTGTAATGATGATTTATTTACTTAGGCACCAAACAAGATACAAGCTATAAAAATTGTAATAAAATAAACACTTGATCTTAGAACTTAGTACGATTTTTTTTAATCATGAATAATCATGAGTATCTAAAAATAACAAGAAAGACACAAATAATATATATCTTAAAAAGGAAAAACTATGAGTTTGCCTTTACTCGCAAAATTTTCTTTTTTAAGATTTCTTTTGGTTACAATTTTCATAAAAATACAAAATTAATAAATTAATAATTAAATTTTTACTTAAAAAACCAACAGTATTAGTTAAAATAATGCTAAAGAGACTAAGTAAATCAAAAAAACATGGTATCTTTTTCCAGTTCCTTCAAAACTATTTCTCTTATGCTTTCCATCTGATTTATCTATCTTCATCCAGCAGCAGCTTGGCGTCAAGTTTTTGTATCACCTTCCTCGGTATCTGGTCAGTCACATTATTATGTTACATTTATCTCATCATCCGATTCTTAAGTATCCTCTATAGCCTCTTGAGATAGTGATATTGACGTCTTGGCAGCACAACATAACTCTTCTTCATCACGATTTTGATGTATAGGTAAAATCACAGAATGAATATAACAATACGATCCTTTTATTTTTTATGCACAATTAGGGATCATCTGTATGATTTTGGGTTTACATCCAAACCTTTGGAATTTTTTAATAAAATAATGCTTTCCTCCAGTGACCGTGATATTTTTTTCGAAGCTTAGTACCTAAATCCTTTTTTATCATGTGAAAATGCCTACTAATACCGGCCTTACGTGGACAAGGATGGTATGTCGGACTTGCACGGACTAAAACCCCATGGTTTTCCACTTTCGCCGAATATTGACAGGGACACAGGAACGCTTGCGCACACATCCACGGCCTCAACAGTGCCGGCTGCCCAACGACAACGCTCTTTCGGGGGAGGACTTCTCCTCTCCATTCTCCTTCTTAGGTAAGGCGCACTAGGAACACAAGTTACGACTTCTTTCATGGTCTTAAACTCTACTTGCGTAACTTAGGATACGTTACGCAGGTAGAGTCCAATAAGCGGAAGCCATGAGGCCAGAAAAAACGAGCGCTTTGTAGCAACCGCTTGGAATACAATTTATTTTTTCATCAATTAAATGAAACGTTCATAAGGTGCGCACTTACGGATTTTCCAAACTACATATTTTTCAATTTTATACGCAAGTAAAATATGATAAGAAAAAATTTTTTTGGAGGTAACCATATATTTTTAAATAAAAATAAAATAATAATCAATATAATATTAATTAGATTTTTGGATAATCGTGACTATGATTATTCACTATAAAAGAAACTGTTTTTTTTGTTTTAAATTAAGGTTGTGAAACGAATTGATCGGATCGTCAGAGAAAGTATCACGCCTCACGTAATACCAATGTAAATTAGCAGGCTGACGTAGTATGACGCAGTATTTCGTATGGTGAGTGTAAAAACCGGATAACCTTTTTACTGGAACTAAAGTATTCCATCTAAGACCTCAGGTGTGACAATGCATCTGCATTTTGATTCTTTAATAAGGGTAGATGAAAATCCCTGTGGTAAGCATTTACTTATCTTCAGGTTGACTGTGTGGTCGTTTGTCACCCTTATCTTATAAAATATTATTATGTTGTTATATCTGAGCTTTTGTCTAGTTGTGTGTCCGTTACGTATGAGAAAAAACTGCGTTATTAGTCGTTCTCTTATGTGTTATTGTAACTTTGCAACATAATGGTTAGTTCACTAAGTAAACAAAAAGTGTCTATGTATAGTATATTTTAAAAGAGGTGTTAGTTCACGGGCTAAGCGATTGCTGTAAATATCACAGTATACAAGAAATGTTTTCTATTGTCCGCTAACACTAATGTTTTTGCTAACTGCAGTTTAAATGAAATATAAGAGCATACATTTTAGATTAATCTATTAATTTATTAACGCTTTACATAAACCATAAAGCCAACCAGAATTAAATATTATGAAAGGCAGTTCAGCAAAAAATCTGAATAGAAATAGAAAACGAAAATAATAAATAATACACAGTAGTTTAAAGAAATAAAATAAATAGTGTTTTCTTATTTATATATTATATATATTATGTTTATGTACGGTGTGAAGTCGTTTTAATATTTTCTTTTTTATGTTTATTGCTAAAAAAATTGAAAAAGTTAATTAATGTATTTGTAAATAAACAAGTAGGTTACTTACAAATACATTATTTAATTTAGTCAAAGAACATCAATTCCTGCTAAGGATGTTGAAATTAAAAAAAAATCTAATTTCAATAAAGAAGGAAGCTGGATACCATATGCCTAGGACCCCATATAATAATATAATCAATAAAATTAAAACTAAATTCAAGCATACCACTGCAAGACCTCAAAACACAGTCAGTGCATTTTGCATAGTTCGGATCGTAAACAATAATCAACCTTTCAATCCCCATAACATCCCATGTGTCCGTCAAATCCCGAGCGGTCGCATGCGACTACACCCATCCACAGCACTTTAAACCGTTAAAATTTAGAGACTACTTTTTCTATGAAGAAGTTTGGCATTATAAAATCTATACCAAATTCTACATCATGTGGTCTAAACAAAAGTCAGGTTTTACTTCATTACAAAAAAACTTCATTGTATTTTCATAACACAAAAAGGGTACATAGCAAGCGGATGTCGGCGGCGTGAAAATCACTATTATTTCAGTATATTACTCGTTATTATTAACGTAAAAAGATAAATTATAATCACACAAAAACTTTCATATCAATTTTATAATAAAACACTATACTAAAGCACTAGAAAAATCTAAAATTCAACACAACATCCAAATGAAAATGGCGTACGTAATGAACGTAGATTATAAGTCGATTAGAATTTATAATAAATTACCTGATAATTTAAAGTGTAAAA